CGCCCAGGCAGCAATGTAGGAAGTGAGAAGGATACAGAAACACTGGCCAGGCCGGGAGTGGGTGATCATGGACAGTGCTGAGGAAAAGTCCTGGTCCAGTTGGGGAGCAGTGGCCCACTCATGTCGGGACTGAAGACATTACAGTATCTTGAAGGGAAAGATACATGCAGATGTCTCGGAGAAAAACTGAGGTGATCAGGAAATCTGTGGATGACAGAGGGGGTCCACATAGACTTTGCCCCCTCCCCCCACCCGTGTCCTTGCTCACTCCCATAACATGCATCATATGAAAGGTCACTACTTGCTTTCTAGGCTGCAAGGAGAGCAGGCAGTGTGCTTGCCCCGGGCACTGCTGCTATACCCTCGGTAAGCAGAACAGGCTCAAGACAGGCCTCAGGAAACACGTGCTGAAGGAAGAAGCACAGGGAGAACACTGAAGAGGGGAAGAAAGGACGAGGGACCAGTCGCCTCGAGGACAGCAGAGAGCCAGGTCAGGAAAGGACGGTCGGGGCCTCGGAGGGCAGCTGGCACCAAGGACCTGGGGGCAAACTGAAAGGACAGGGACCAGGCAGCATCTGTGCAAAAGGCTCCACTAGGACCTTGGGTGTGACCCCAACAGCCCAAAGTCTCCGCCCACCCTGGAGGAATATGTCAGGTGCCCCGTCTCCAGAAAGGCACTGGGGGCTGGGGGCTTAAGACCATGGGGCTAAGAGGTCTGTGGCCTCTCCTGAGCCTTGTTCCAGGGAGAGAGACTGGCCTCCACAGCCTGACCTGCCCACCGACTAAGACAGTGGAGTTGTGTTTGGGTGTTCTTGGCTTGATAAACATCTGAATACTAATAAAGAGTTTATGTGCTTGTTTGAGGGAATCATGAGTAATAGGTCTCAAATTACATTTCTGTAAAGCATGGGCTTTCCCATTGAAAATATTCACTTCCCAATTTACAGGAGACTTCACGGCAGTGATTCTCAAGTGTGCTCTTGGGAGCAGCAAGGCATCATCTGGGAATCTGTTATAAATGCAAATTCTCATGCTCCACCTCAGACCTGCTAACCCTACAAAAACTCTGGGGATGAGATTCAGCAATCCATGCTTTAACAAGTTTTCCAGGGGATCCTGACACATGCGAAAGTTTAAGAACTACTTTAAGGTAATGGATGGGATATACTTAATTTGTGTGTGTGTGTGTGTGTGTGTAAAGAGCACACATTTTCTGAAATTAAATATACTGGGGAGATATTGGTTAATAAAATTATATAGGCTTCAAGTGTACAATTCTATGCTACATCATCTGTGTACTGCACTGTATGTTGACCACTTAAAGCCAAATCTCCTTCCATCCCCATATATTTGACCCCCTTTACCCTTTACATAGGTATTAAACTTACGGACCTTGGTCTTAGAGAGGATTTTATGAATGTGACCACAAAGGCAAAGGAAGTAAAAGCAAAAATAAACGAAAGGGACTATTTCAAACTAAAAAGCTTCTGCATGGCAAAATAAACTGTCACAAAATAAAAAGGCAACTGACCGAATGGGAGAAGATATTTGCAAACAGCTCCAACAAGAGCTTCGTCACCAAAATATATAAAGAACTCATACAACTCAACAGCAAAAAGACAAACAATCCAATTAAAAAATGGGTAGAGGACCTGAACAGACATTTTCCCCGAGAAGACATACATGACCAACTTAATTGCTATTAGGGAAATGCAGATATATGCACGCCTATGCTCACTGCAGCATGATGGCCAAGACATGGAGAAAACCAAGATGTCCTTCAGTAGAGGGCGGGATAAAGAAGATGTGATGCATATACACAATGGAATATTACTCAGCCATAAGAAAAGATGAAATACACCATTTGCAACAACATGGATGGACCCTGAGAATATCAGGCTAAGCAAAACAAGTCAGACAGAAAAAGTCAAGAACCACGTGAGATATACAACTGACAGCAACAAATGAAAAACAAGACAAATACTCATAGACACAGACAACAATATGGTGGTTACCAGAGGGACAGGGGAATGTGTTTAATTTTAAAGCCACAATCCCCTCTGCTTAAACCTTTGGCATCTGCTATGCCAGTCTTTAGTGAGTAGCATGAGCAGCCAATGAGAAGAGCCCACGATCTGCAGTACAGAATAGTGGGGAAGGGGGCGGTCTTGCTGCCTGGATTTGGTCCCTGGCTGAGAAACCTTGGAGAAATTCCTTTACCTCTTAAGCCTCAGTCTCCTCATTTGTAACAAGGGAAAAGTACTATTACGATATTGTTCTATGGATCAAATGAGATGGTGTCTGACAGACGCACAGTATATTCTCAAGTTATGCTGGTTATCATTATTACCATTAAAATAGAACTCAGAAGGAGCCAGTCACCTCATGGAATCATTTCAATGGCTAGCTAGGTTTTTACCAAGGTCAGGATTTTGTATCACATGCATAGTAACTTTACACTAGTCTTTTTTCTAGTTCGAAGAATTCACATTTCCCAACTCTGCAGAGCCCCCCGGGGCCAGACTGATCCTGTGGCCTCCTCTACGCCTTACCCTGTTCAGCCTCGGACAGCAAGGTGTCCGACCCTTACTGTCCACCAGGTGCTCAACCTGAGTGTCTACTCTTGCAGTGAGCAAATAGGTCCTCGAGGGGCTCTGGAAGGAAGGTGCTCAGAAGAGGGTGAGGTGAGAGGTCACGGAAGGGTGGGCCCCTCTTTTTGTGGATCCCCCTATGGGTTAGGAAAGCCTGATGACTTCCAGTAGGACTTTGGAAGGAAAGGGTGTTGAATAACAGGTTCAAGAGGTCATTTTGGCTCAAAAATACCAGCACACAGTTTTGATGAAACTTCCAATTTTTATCTCCTCCTCAGTAGAATGGAAGCTCCAAGTGGCCCAGAAGTTTGTTTAACTCCTTCTTGTGTCTCTGCAACAATGTCTGGCACTTAGGCATTAAGACACTTCCAAGTAGGTGAACACTGGTTAGGCCAGTAGTTTTGTAATTTGAAGGAACAACGGTTGCTCTCTGCCAATCTCAGGTCTTCACTCAGCCACCGGCCAGGAGACCTTGGCGTCTGGTGAGCCCACAAGGCCGGGCCCTGGTAAGAGCTGTAGTCGGACGGAGGCCCAGGGTGCTCCTCAGCTAGGAGTATGGCACGTGGGACTGTTACTGTGATGTAGGCAAAAGCCGGCTTGGAATCACTTAGGAGTGAGCCGACAGGTACATTCAAGACCGGGAACTCGGCATTTGCTTCTTGGCAAATCCTGGCTCCCTTCCAGCTGAACTAAGCCCTGCCCACCCACCATGGGCTGGGTCTAGAGGGCCAGCTGCCAGCCTGTGCCCTGACAGGCGCCGGGGTGGTGCCTGGGGTGTGGACGCACTATGGCTCTGAGGCAAGGGGCTCATTCATTCCAGACGAGCACTGACGCCCTGCCTGTGCCAGTCTGGTGACTGAGATGTCTGCATACAATTACGAAGGCAGAAATACACCCTATGTGACAGGCAAGCAGACAGGCTTCTGCCTCTGAACAGAAATGCCCTCTGGACCTCTGCTGGCTCGGGTCCCCCCAGTGCCCTCCATGGCCATCTGTGTCTACAATCCACAGTACCATACTTCTTACCCTGGGCCAACCCCAATCTGCCCGGGCAGAGAGGCCCCCAAGTGCCCACAGTGCTCCCAGAGTAATTGTCAGTGTGGCTCTCTCAAGCTGTAACCTTGCAGAGTTTTGTTCGGCTTTACTTTCACCCAGCCAATGGCCAGAGCCCTTGTCCAGCACATAGACACGATCAGCATTTACAAATTTTCTAATTATTTCCCTCCACCATTTGAAACTTGTGTCAGTTACTCATTAATAGAAATGCCTCTATTTGGGGTTGAGTACAGTTCTAACAGTGGCGATGGTGTCTGTCCTGCTGGATGTGGCGGGTGTGGCAAGGCCTGGCCCACTGCCCCAGGCCTGGTGGGGGCCACTCCAAACAGGTCAAGGACCCCCCCTTTCCTGGGCCCGAGGAACTCCTCCCTGCAAAAACGAGGAGTGTCTTTTAGTTCCATTAGTTTAGGACTCCATTTTGAGAGAATACACAACTGACCAAGGTTTACTAAAGAAATATTCTCCAGGATTCTGTGGTACTTGGTAAACACAGTACACACTAATCATTTGTAATCAGAGCAGTCTGGTAGTATTTTAATCAAGGGTCTTTTGAGTAAATGTAAATAAAAGCTCACATTAGACCGATTTTCAAAAAGCCAAAACTCATTCTGTGGCTACCCGAGTGGTTAATGGTGTCCACAGCAAGGCTCGGTCGCTAGGTCCAGAGCCCAGCCAAGTCCCAGGGTTACCCAGGCAGCTGCTTCTCAGACCCACTTTCTCTCTGTACGTCCACTTCTAAACTTCTCTGCCTGTCCATCCAGTGCTGGCTCACGGGTCCTAACTTTTTACGATGGTGCCTGGTCTCTCTCGTTCCCTCTGCAAAATTCCCAAGATAAAGAATTTTCTTGGGCCTGTTTAGATTAGGAATTCAACCCTGGGGCAATGGACTGGGATGTGGGAGAGGGGAGGGAAAGGCCCGTGCACAGACGTGGTCCCCACTCCTGTAAGAGTGAGGGAGGGAGCAGTGTGAGTCAGACAGGAACCCCTAACAATGTCATTAGAGAGAGGTTGGCCACTCCAGGAGCTTAGCTATCAGTACTTAAATGAAACAGCAAAGTATGTAATGTTTTACAGTTCAGTGACCTTCCCCACCAAATGCCCTTGAACCAGTTGAAGTTCCAGCAGCAAACTACTCACATCTCAGAGAGCTCTACTGGACACAAGCCACGTAGAAAGCTCCAAAGCGCCGCCTCCTGTCCTGCTGCTCTTCGCTGGAAAGGCGCATGCTTGCTCTTTACTTTCATCAAATCTTACAGGAGTGATAGACAGATCAAGTTACAAAAGGTACCCCTTTCCCACTAACACTTTTTCTAACAATTTATGTTGATCTCAACAACATAATAAGATGGATATTCAACTCATTCCTTGCACCTGTGAAAACCCTGCCACGGAATCATATTTTGTGGACACACGGCACACAGCCTGGAACACAGTGGGTGATCAAGGTTAGATGAATCCAATTCCAATTAAAAAATAAGTACAAGGATCTACTTTAGATCACATATTAAATCTGGCTCACATTTCAGGTCACATTCTGCTTCTGTGTCCCATGGCAGGTAAGGCAGAAAAAAAGTAACTTTGAGTCTCAAACTTGCTATTCTTCTTAGAAGAACCCCACAACAACTGACATCTCAAGCTCAGAAGCACAAAATGTATACAAAGAAATGGCTAAATAGTACCTTAACTGACAGCACTGCTTTAAATAGTCCAGAGCTTCACAGAAATTGTTATTTCGAAACATGCAGAGGCAGCAAGAGTCACCCAAAACCACTCTTTATTCTATGACCTTTATATTGCTTTTCTGTTATTTAAAGATTGAAGCAAAGTGAAATGGATGGAAACATTTTGTTAAAAGAACAAAATGAGTTAGTCACAGAACATACACCTCATAAAACCTCAGGTCTATACCATACACACCAAACATCGGCTAAGTCCAGCTGTGGTTCATTTTCTGGGTTTTTGTAAAGCAAACGGAAATATTTGGAAGAATCAACAATTTTAATAGAAGAGCTATAAATGCCCCCAAAGCAGAAAGTTGACACAATTTTAAATATAATTCATATATATATATTTAAAATCAAACACAATTAAATAGAATATGGTTTAAGTACATGAATACTTCAGCTCTAGAAGAATAACAGAGGTGGTACATAGTACCAAAAACTATACACAGCCTTCTCGCTTCTTCTGTTGATGAAACAGTGTGCCTCTCTATACAATCACATATTGCAATGGGATAAATTCTCTATTCATTCAAGACTCTCTCAAGGACAGAGGTGATTAATAATTATATATATATATGTTTTTTGCAAAGTCTGAGCAAAAGCAGTCACACCTGCGAGCACTCTCTCCCCTCCAGCAGTCACATGGTGGGGAGGCACTGGCGTCGCCTGGCCAGTGCAGTGTGGTGCCAAGGGGTAGCTCTGCTGATGGCAGCACAGTGCAGACGCAGGAGCAACTGGGAAGAAGTGCAGCGAGGAAGTCTCTTCCCGTCCTGAAGACAGAAGGAAGAGGCCACCCACTGCATCCTTTCCAGCTCAGAGCAAAGAAAGGGGAGGCAGTCACAACCGAGTGCTTCTCCGCCCCTCAACCCTGCCCTCTCACCTTCTTAAACAAAATAAAACAATCATACAATCTGGGAATAAACATTTTGTTCAAGGTGCCACAGGGGAACACTGGAGTGATCGTTATTTGTATTTGAAGGGAAAGTTAAACGACCTGGAGCAGAATTCCAGAGGGGCGAGTCCTAATGCTCCAGTGCGGACATTCACCCTTTGGTTAGCAGGGGGAAAAGACTGGTTTGAAGTATACTGCATCTCAGGAGTATTAAAATGTGAAAATTGTATACTGTCACCAAAAGGAAGGACAAAGTCACTGATACTTGACCTGTGACATACCAGCTTCCTTCCCAACTAATGCTGCTGTGAAGGCAGACACACGATGAGCCTTCACCCTGTTCTGATGGAGAAAAGCAATCTGCTAGCACCGCACGGCCGCCCTGAGCCGCTGCCTCTCGGAGCAGCTGACTCCCGTTTGCTTGGAGAGGCCCAAGCAAAGCACCTCTGGTACCTGCTTGATGCTGCTGCTAAGGATGGGTCACCCTGCAGAAGTGCATCGGAGACCAGCTCTACACTTACCAGCCTGCCACAGCATGTGGTCCTGTCATTCCAGTGGACTAAAACTCTCTCATAAATGGTTATTGCCATTGAAAAACTACTAATTTTCTAGTAATGTAAACAATACCACTTTGTCTCCTTATGACTTTCGCTTGTGAACATCATGTCAGCAAATATGTCTACATGTCACTCTGCTTATGGTGGAAGTCTAGGATTGTCTGCCGTTCTTTGTTGGGAGTAACAGTTGAAAGAAATACAGTGCTTTGTTTTCATTGGCTGTGTTAAGAATCCAACCAAAGGAAGAACGTTCTCTTATTGTTCAAAAGCAGATTTCCTTTATCTCAGGTATCGAGTCATAGCTGGAAAAAAAGAAAAAGAAAAATGTAAGGTACATTTCTATAACCAGTGACACATGTTACAGATAAAGAAGAAGGGAACCAACACTTAGTGAATGTGAGATAAAATACTACAATAATTTTCATTTACAAATGTGTGAATGGAAGCTTAGAGGTCCCACAACTCACCCTAAGGTTACATAAGAAGGTCTGGCACCCAGAATTGCTTTTATCTTTCTGTTTTGGCAATAGATATTAGAACAAAATATCTACTTTTTTTTTTATCCTCACCCAAGAACATTTTTTCCATTTTTTGTTCAGATAGAGTGGGAGGGAGAGAGAGAGAGAAACATCAACGTGAAAGGGACACATGGAGTGGCTGCCACCCGCACGACTCAACCAGGGCTGGGGACAAACTGCAATGGAGGTACGTGCCCTTAGCGGGGACTGAACCTGGGGCTCTCTGGACCAGAGGCCGATGCCGATGTTCTAACTGCTGAGCCAAACCAGCCAGGGCCAAAATATGTACTTTTTTGACAGAGTAATTCTGCTTCTAGGACTTAACCCAACAGTATAGTCATAAGAGAGGGCAAAGACTTACATACACAGATAGTCATTAAAATATTGTTTGTAATTGGGAAATTCATTAACTGAAGAAAGAGCCACAATATGAAATACTCAAATGCCCCAGCAAAAAAAAAATGACCAGCTTTGAAGGCTGAGTCCTTGTTTACTTGCAGGACCGGAGAGGAAACAAACATAAAGACACGGTCCTTGTTTTTAGAAATTAACACTCTACAGTTATTGTTTTGTAATTCTGATCAGCCAACTGACTGCCCCTGCCCAAAAACCAACCCAAGCAGAACAATTTAAGATTGCTTCTCTGAGCAGACTAAAATTCAGGGTCATACATTACGAATGACCAAGGACAAGGGTGCTATAGTGAAAAGAAAGAGATTAAGGGGTGGGGAGGTGTACTGAGACTTCTCTAGCTCTTTCCTACTTGGCTCCTAGAACACCGGTACACCAGTAGCCTGGTCTTAATCCTCCAGGCAGGAGACTGATAAGAGTTTTCTCTGGAGAGTATGATCAGTCCAAGAATAAAGAACTTAGTTCCTAAGGAAACCTGGCTAGTTTATGTTTCACTTTTTAAGAAAGTTATTAAATGCTTCTGTCATTTACATTAGTTAGGAATCAGAGTTAAATATGTTCCATTAACATCCCATATAACCCTCAGTAGTTTGGAGCGCTTGAATTTAGATCTAGGTCCAATACCACCCTTTCCTTAACTTTCTAGTCAGCTTTTCACTCTAAGTACTGTCATTACCAGAGCTTGGATTAATTTTTTTTTTCTCCTCCCAATTACAGTTGATATACAGAGCTTGGTTTAATTTTGATCCTTTCACTGAGATGATTCTTGCCAATTTTTTAATTGGAATATTTGGACTTTTTGGGCTATTGAGTTATATAAATTCCGTATATATTTTGGCTATTAACCCCTCAAATTCAGCATTATTAAGGATCTATTTCTTCTTGAGTGTACTTTATTTTTGCTTTCAAGGAATTTACATCTTTAAGAAATTTTTCCATTCTGGCCAAGCTGTTGAATTTATTAGCATGAAGTTGTTCATAAGATCCCCCTATTATCATTTTAATAACTGTAGGATCTATAGTGATGTCCCCTCTTTCAATCCTGGTATTGGTAATTCATACTAATCTCCCCCACCCACAATTAGTCTGGCTAGAGGTTTATCAATTTAATTGGTGTCTTCAAAGAACCAGCTGTTGATTTTTCTCTATTGTCTGCCTGTTTTCTATGTAATTGATAATCACTTTTATCTTTATCATTGCCTTCTTTCTGCTTTTATGGGTTTAATTTACTCATTTCCTAGTTTCTTAAAATAGACTGAGATCTTTCTTCTTATCTAATATATTTAATGCTATAAATTTCCATCTAAGAACTGCTTTAACAGTATACCCAAAATACTATTTTATTTTCATTTTAATTTAGTCAAAAATATTTTACAACATCCTTTTTGATTTTTATTTTGACTAATGAGTTTCATTAGAAGTATGCTGTATAATTTTCAAATATTTGGGGATTTTCCACATATCTTTCTGTTACTGATTTACTGTTTAATTCCTTTGTGAACAAGTGTACAAATGTCACTTAGGTCCTTGAGGAACTGACCTTTTTATCATATAAAATGTCCTTTTTTGTGCATGATAATATTCCTTGTTTTTTAGAGTTTACTTAGACTTATAGTAATATAGCTATTACAGCTTACTTTTTAAAAAATATGTTTTTATTAATGTTTTTTTTAGAGAGAGAGGAAGGGAGAGAGAGATAGAAACATGGATGTGAGAGAAACACTGATTGGCTGCCTCCTGCACACCCTCTACGGGGAATTGAGCCCACAACCTGGGCATGCTTCCTGACCATGAATCGAACCGGGACCTTTCAGCCCATGGGACGAAGCTCAATCCACTGAGACACACTGGCGGGGGGTGCAGCTTACTTTTGATAGTGTCTGCATGATATCTCTTTTCCATCCTTTTATTTTTAACCTGTCTTTAAATTTAAAGTGGGTTCTGAAAGTACAAGTTGACCCTCGAATAATGCTGGGGTTAGTGGCCACAACGGCTTGTGCAGTTGAAAATTGGCATATAACTTAGCCTTCCATATACACACATTTCCAACTGCAGATGACTTCTGAACAACACGGGTTTTTGAGCTGTGTGCATCAACTGAACTGTAGTCAATGGAAAAAATTCATGAACAAGTGGGCCTATGCAGTTCAAATCCAACTATATACAGTTCAGGAATGAACTGTATATAATTGGGTTCTGCCTTATTATCCAATCTGACAATCTGTGTTTCAACTAGACTACTTAAATCATTTATGCTTAATGTAATTATTCATATGATTTGGTTTAAATCTACAATTTTGCTATCTGTCTTCTATTTGTTCCATTGATTCTTTCTTCCCTTTCTTCCTTTTTCCTGGGTTCTTTTGTGTTTGGTATTTTTTAGAATTTGTTTTCTACAGATTGTGTTTTCTCCTGGTTATGGGTCAAGTTTTTCTGCTTCCTTGCATGCCTGGTAATATTTTCTTTCTTTTTGGTGGGAGGGAGTGAGGGAAGGAAAGAAGAGAGAGAGAGACAGACAGACATCAATGTGAGGGAGACACACTGATTGGTTGCCTCTCGCATAACCCTGACCAGGGCCAGGTATCGAAGTGAAACCAAGGTACGTGCCCTTGACCAGAGTCAAGTCCACAACTCATTCATCTGCACTCCGATGCTCTAATCACTGAGCTGAACTGGCCAGGGCATGCCTGGTAATTTTTGATGGGATGTGTTTTCACACTGTTTGTTTGTTTATTTACTTATTTAATCCTCACCTGAGGACATTTTTCCACTTTTTGTTCAGATAGAGTAGGAGGGAGAGAGAGAAACATCGACGTGAAAGGGAGACATTGAGTGGTTGCCAACCGCACAGCCCAACCAGGGCCGGGGACAAGCTGCAACCGAGGTACATACCCTTAGCGGGAACTGAACCTGGGTCTCTCTAGACCGCAGGCTGATGCTCTAACTGCTGAGCCAAACTGGCCAGGGCATGTTTTTACACTGTTAAAGGCTGAACTTTGTTGTTCATTTAAGGAGGGCTGGCCTCTGTCTGGCATGCAGTTGTTACTTACAGAGCAGTCTGAGCCTTCCAAAACTGTTTTTAAGCTTGGTTAAGGTACTTTATTCTAGGAATAATGTAGCTCCAGTAGTAAGGTATGTTTCTGAGGACACTACCCAATGCCCTGTGTATTAGAAGATCTGCCCACACTGGTCAGTAGAAACATCAATTATTCCGATCCACATGTTCTAGAAATTGTTCAGTCTAATAATTTTCCGTCTTCTTTCCCTGACCATGGACATTGTCAACCAACACATGTAGTACTCAACCGAGGACTTGAAGCGACCTCTCTAAATCTCTTTGGAGCTCTCTTTCTGTGTAGCTCCTTTTCTGGTACCCTGTTCTATGACTTCTAGCCACTTTGACTTGGGCTCTCCAAACTTCAATTTCTGACTCCTCAGTTCAGGAAGGCAATGAACTCTGTTGGGTTTTCCCATACCTGCACTTTGAACATTGCTTCTGAGCAGTGAGCTATGGATCACCTCAATGTTATCCTTCTTGTAAGGATTACAGCCCTCTACTGCCTGCTGTCCAGTATCTGGAAATGGTGGTTTCATTTAGTTTGTTAGTTTTCTAGTGTTTATGATGAGAGGGTAATTCCTATAGTAGTTAATCCTTCAAAGGCAGAAGCAGAAGCTCTCCTGTCTTTTTGTAATATACAGTATCTGGAATCTAATTCTTTTCCATTTTAAACCAGTTATATCAGAACAAAAGTCATCCTTACCTTCGTAGACTTCTCTAATGGTTGATCATATTGTGCCTGCTGCATAACATCACTAACTATCATTTTAGCAATCTTCCAAGCTAGCTCTTCTTGGGCCTAAAAGAAGTAATTGAAGCTGTTGATAAGCTATTTATGAGAAGAATCAAGACATACATTTCAATGCTCTAAACACAACTGTACATGCATGTCATTTCTCCTTATGCAGATAAGAAGCACACTGCCATGTATGAAGAACCTGGGCCACCCTCTGGCTATGATATATTAACCTGCTAATCATTGTCTTCCAAAGTCAGCTACTGGGTACCTACCCAACATCACACAACTTTCATGTTAGATGGTCAAAACAAAACATTTTTCTTTTTCTACTCCCATCTCTCAGTGTTCTCCACTATTCAAAAAGGAAGCCTCCACTTCTGAAAGTAAAAACGACACTGCAGAAGGAGACTTTTGAGCTTTTGTGTCTACACTGATTACTGACACCTGCTGGTTGATGGAAACTGGATACATGACATTTTTCAGTGGCCAGAATCTCTGGACTGAAGATCCCTACATGGCCTCCACCAGGCAATCGTTCGATGTTAAGAAGGGACCACCCTTTCCTGTTACACCCTGGGTGTGCCATGCTGCTTCGACATGGGAACTAAAGAAAGAAATCTCAAAACCTTAGTCAGACAAGGTGCTACTTACAAACAGGAATCTCTTTACACTAAAAGTAGAATTTACCTCATCAGTATTTCCTTGCACCCATTTCTTCATAGCTTGTGAGAACATGGATCCTAGTAAACAAAGCCAAAGTTGAATGTAGATTTCATGACGAATAATACATTAAAAATGCTCTTACTTACAAATTACTTCCAGACATGCACATTCTTTTTTTTGGTACAATCTTCTGTAAAACATTAAGGAATACTGCTATCAATAGAAACTGATTATGTTATCTCTATATAGAGTATTTAATGTGCAAACATCATGTTTTGAAAAACCTCTGAAAAGCTGTTTCAGAGTACTGGATTTTTCTTTTACTTGATAAAATAAATTATCATCTAGTGTTAGATTTGCAGAAAACTAAAAGAGCAAAAACAAAACCAAGACCTGGATTTAATTTTGGGTAAGAATCTAGGAACACCTCAGGAGATATCAATCTACTTGGTTATGTATCCAAACCTTCCAGAGCAACTACTACACAAAAGGGCTTCAAGATTTTGCTGCTACGCACTATATAAATTATCACACTATATAAATTATCTGGGTAAGAGCAGAGGTGTCTCTTTTTTTGTTAATCCTCACCTGAGAATATTCTTCTATTGATTTTTAGATACAGTGGAAGGGAGGGAGGGAGAGAAAGAGAGAGCGAAACATTAATGTGAGAGAGACACATCGATTGGTTGCCTCCTGCATGACCCCAACCGGGGCTGGAGATCGAACCTGCAACCCAGGCATACACCCTTGACCCTTTAGTCTGTGGGCAAAACCAGCAGGGCTGTTCCCTCCCTAATGTGGGGCTTCTCCAGGATCCCATCCCCAGCCTTCTTTTCTCTTTCAACACATTCTCGGTGGGGCATCTCATCCCCTCCTGTGACTTTAATTTCATTCCAAATGCAAATAACTAAAAAACTCATCCTTGGGTGTCAAACCTATACCAACAATTTGTCCTAAAAGCACCCCAAACTTAACATGTTCTAAATGGACCTCATCTGTCTCCCACCTACATTTTTTTAACCTCTACCTCATAAATCAATTTAATCCTCTACTGAAAATTAACATATTTTTTTTCATCCAGAGAACCCATATTTAAAAACTCAATCTATTCAACAATAAAGATACATTAAAAACAAACAAAAAAGACGTCTCTCCCACATACTGCGGTAAGCGCAGACTCGGCAGAAGCACGGGGTCTCGTCTGCCTGAAAGCTCTAAAGGATAATTCAGAGTGGAGGGGAAGGAGGAAGAAAAGGTCAGGCCTAGGAAGGCAAGGCAGTTTGGGGAGTGGGAAACCACTGGTATTTGCTGTTTGTTGCTAAAGCATAAAAACGCTAGGCACAAGGTGGCAAGAAATGAGGCCGGAGAGGTGGGCACCCTGTGTGCCATGTAGAAAAACTGGAACTGTGTCTTTTCAGCCACTGTTTCCAAAACATTCCCCCCCCTTCAAAAAAAATTGTTTTGTCATATCCATTTTATCTCTGTAATACTGTTTGTTCAATATCAAAATCACTTTTTACTTAGTCTAAGCAACAATATCCCTGAAGTCAGAGTTTTGTTATGCTCATTTTTTTTTTTTTATCCTCACCCGAGGACATTTTTCCATTTTTTGCACAGATAGAGTGGGAGGGAGAGAGGAAGAGAGAGGGAGAGAGAAACATCGACGTGAAAGGGACACATCGAGTGGCTGCCACCCGCACGACCAACCAGGGCCGGGGACAAACTGCAACCGAGGTACATGCCCTTAGCGGGAACCGAACCCGGGTCTCTCCGGACCGCAGGCCGATGCTCTAACCGCTGAGCCAAACTGGCCAGGGTGTTATGCTCATTTTATTTTTCTAATACACTTTACAATGAATGTAGCATGGTTAAAAATTGAGAAAAAACAATAACAAAATAGAACTCAACCTACCTTCCTCATTTACTCTCCATATGAAATGTCACCACATTCTACCTTGGATGCAGTTGCTTAAATGCCCCCTAGAAGTCTTATAACCCAAACCTTCTTTCTCATTCTTGCTATCACTACCTACCTTCAAATCCTCCTTTTCTTCTATCTACATTACTATTTAATCCTACTGACTGGTTTCTCTAACATCAGTCTCTCCTCAACTCCAATTCATTCCTATACAACTGCCAGAAAAATGCATCTAGTCAGTATTCTGCGCAGCAGTCCCTGGCGCCTAGATGACAGGAATCAGGTCCCTCAATACGCACCAGGGCTTGCACGATGTAGGACAGCTTCACCTCCCACCACTGCGGGGACCACGTGCTCACACATCCTCCACAATTCCTTCTCGGCATGCTCTCATACTGCCATTACCTTGCTTGTCCTGGCCAGTTTGGCAGTTAGAGTTGCTGGTTTGCTCCCCAGTCCCGGCTGGGGTCATGTAGGAGGCAACCAATCGATGTGTGTGTGTCTCTCTCTCCCCCTCACCCCGACCTCCCTCTCTTCCACTTTATCTAAAAAGTCAATGGAAAAATATTCTCTAGTGAGGATTAACAAAATGAATAAATAAAATAAAATTACCTTGCTTGCCCCACAAGCAAAGTTCTCACACTCTCAGAAACTTCTGAATACACCCTTCTCAAACTCAACCCTTTCCTCGTGTTCTGTCTCCAGGGTTTCAGATCCCGAACTGAACCCAAACTGGTGAACGGTGACCCTCTCTGCAGCAGCCCGCGGCGGCGGACAGGGAGGGAGAGTGGGGCCCAACTGCAAACTGCGCTCCAAATGGCGTCCCGAACCGAAGCCCGGGGCTGCTCTCGATCTGCCATGTGACTCCTGATAAGTCTCAGCTTCTCTCACTCTCCACTTCACTTGTGGAATAAGGAGGTAGTATCCACAGATGTATCATCTAAGATGTGCATGAGTCTGGGCTAAGATCTCTACTGTTCTGGGTATGAGAAGGGGGAGTGGGGCTTTATGAGTATCCTCAGAACATTAAAGTAATCTGGATAAGAAAACTTAGTATCTATGATAGTTTTAAAAATAATTTTTCTTAAATAAAATAGATATGACCCATAATCTTATCACCCACAAAATTTCCACCGAAAGTCTTCCAGATTAATTAATCCAATCAGCAAATATGTAGTGAGTGCCTATCAGGTGCAAAGCAAAATTGTTGAATCAGAGAATATCATGCCAAGTAAGATAGACAAAGTTCTCCCTCTCAGAAAGGTGATATTCCAGTCATGAAAGAGAAACAGACTATAAAACAAGTGCGCAAATAGATCAACCGGAGACCCAGCGGCGCTCCCTGCCGGGAGCTGGCCCGGCACCCCCTGCCCTCCTCTCCTCCCCAAGGCGCGTCTCCCTCACCCTTCTCTCTCCTGAGCTCCAAGGGCCCTTCTTTTGCCTCTGTAACTTGTTTCCTGGGCTCATTTCTTCTATGACTCACCTCTTCTACTCTGTGACTTCCTAAATAAACTTTCTTATAAAAAATAATTTCAGCCAGTGAATGAGAAAATGAAGAAGTGGCATGTTAGTGTTCTGAATGATTTTAGATCATCTGGACGGGGGGTCCTCTCTGAAGGGAGAACACTGCGGATGAGAGGAGACAGCAGCTGTGAAAGCCACGGCAGGACTGTCCTGGCCGGACAACAGCAACGGCAAAGGCACTAAATGAGAAGGGACTTCAGAGAGTTACAGACGAGCTTAGTATGTGAAAGGAGTGGTTAAAGGGAGACTGGGGACACTGACAGGTTACAGCAGAGGTGAGAGGAAGCCACAGGGGAAGATGGGTGGGTGATTAAGCAGAACAGTGGTTGGAGTGTCTGCCCACACACCAACAGGTCATCAGCTCCCCCGCAAAGGGTTCCATCCCTGCGTGTGGGAGGCAATCAATCCAGGTGTCTCCCTCACACTGATGTTTCTCTCTCCTTCTCCTCCTTCCCTCCCTCACACTCTCTCAAAATATCAATGGAGCCCTGGCTGGTTTGGCTCAGCGGTTAGAGCGTCGGCCTGCAGTCCAGAGAGACCTGGGTTAGGTTCCCACTAAGGGCACGTACCTCAGTTGCAGTTTGTCCCGGCCCTGGATGGGTCGTGCAGGAGGCAGCCACTCGATGTGTCCCTTTCACATCAATGTTTCTCTCTCTCCCTCCCACTCTATCTGAACAAAAAATGGAAGAATGTCTTTGGTGAGGATAAAAAAAAAAAAAAAATCAATGGAAAAAATATCCTTGGGTGAGGATTAACAACAACAAAAGTAAAGGGAAAAGATATAATGAAAAGTAAAAGTACCTCCCTCTTCTCATGTTAGCCTTTATGTGTATCCTTTTATTTTTTTAAATATATTTTTATTGATTTTAGAGAGAGAGGAAGGAGAAGGAGAGAGAGATAGAAACATCAATGAGAATGAACATCGATTGGCCGCCTCCTGCACGCCCCGCACTGGGGATCAGGTCCACAACCTGGGCATGTGCCCTGACCGGGAATCGAACCAGTGACCTCCCGGTGCATGGCTCGACATGTGTATCTTTTTAAATATACCATACACAACATCATCTAGATGTACTCTAACCAAAATGTGTAACTCAAATCATGAAGACTTTAGGTACAACTACGAGATTATAAGAAATACAGGGGAGGAAGGAATAAACTAAATAATACAACCAGAAAAATCCAGAAGGTTGACATTTCTTATTTATTTATTTATTTATTTATTTATTTATTTATTTATTTAATCTTCACCTGAGGATATTATTTTCATTGCGTTTTAGAGAGAGTGGAAGGGAGGGAGGGAGGGGGGACAGAAAGAGGGTGAGAGAGAGAGAGAGAGAGAGAGAGAGAGAGGGGAACATTAATGTGAGAGACACACACTAACTGACTGCCTTCTACACACACCCTGCCCAGGGCTGGCGATCGAACCTGCGACCTCTCATGCACAGGCTGATGCTCTAACCACTGAGCAGCACTGGCCAGGGCAGGCTGGGCATTTTACAAGATAACTAGCATGATAGGCTGAGCAAGTCAGGGTCATAAAAATGGGAGTAAGGTAGATTGAAATAAACTAAGACTACATCCTCTTATATGTCTCCATGGCATCTAGCACAGTGTCTAGCACACAGAAATCACTTAAGTGCCTTCTGAGTGAATGAACTGAACCTGCAGGCTCCTATATTACATTATTTACATGCCAAAAAATACATGACTTGAAGAGACATCTGAACAACTAAGCAAGCACAGGATATGCACACGTATTAAATCAATTGCAGAAACGACAACTGATTACTTCACAGAGGCATGTCTCTCATCAGTAATGCACGTAACCTGCTGGATGGGCTTGCTGCTGGGGACACCATGCTGTTGCCTCTACCTTCAGGTATAACCAGATACAACCATTATTCACTACCTAATCCACCACCACCACCCCTTATGTGGATCATGGCAAGAATATTGCTGCCCTGCTACTCCTCTTAAGCCCCTCTGTTCTTTTCCAGAGGTCTGTGAGAGCCACCCCTCTGAAACATAAATCACACCATGTTACTTTCCCACTCCAACTGGCAATGTGTGCCCTCCACTTTCAGGTCCCTACCATGGGTTGTAGTAACCCTCCCGACCTAACTTGCCTCTGTCACATCACTTCCCTCACTTCTCCTCAGTGGCACAGGTGGGTTCTTCCTTGATCATTCTGAACTCTTACACTTCAGGACCTTTCTTCTAGTTCCTTCTGCCAAGAACACTCTTCCTCCAACCACTGCCAAGGCTCACTGGCCCATTTTGCTAGAGTCTCTATTTAAAACACTACTTCCTCAGTGAGACCTTTCCTGACAACCACTGCTAAAATAGCACTCCCCACTAGTCTTCACTTGCTCTGCTTGCATACGTTTATGTATAAGTATATAAATACCTGCATATATACTGTATTTCTTTATCTATTTCCTGTGTCCCCCACTGTAATGTAAGCTCCTTGAGGGCAAGAATTTATTGTATTTTCTTTCCAATACCTAGAATGGTAGATGCATGTAAAAGGCACTCATATTTTAGAGTGAATGAATGAATGAACAGAATGAGCAGAGATTTTGGTTTAGGGAGAATTTTCTTATCTTTAACTACTTATAATATCTAATTCATATAAAACAAACTAAACAGACTGCAAACACCCAACACTAATGCTCTGGAGCAGTAACGCTTCTTTATGAGCTGTCAGAGAAATAAGACCAGCTTAAAAAAAACAACCACCAAGCATCTGAGACACTATGAATATTGGAGACTCCATTATCTCCAGGGACAGAAGCTACTCTATTATGTAGAGTACTTCCTGGCCAAGACCTCTCAGAGGTTGTCTAGCTCTTCCTCTGCTCCAAGGCCACCAGTGACCTCTTCCGAGTATTCACCCTTTTCACTCAGTCAAAGACACTACAAGACTGTAAATTTCTTTTTTCTTTTATCCTCACCTGAGAACATTTTTTGTTCAGATAGTGGGAAGGAGAGGGAGGGAGGGAGGGATGGAGGGGGGGGGGAGAGGGAGAGAGAGAGAGAGACAGAGAAACATCGATGTGAAAGGGACACATCGAGTGGCTGCCACCCGCATGACCAACCAGGGCCGGGGACAAACTGCAACCGAGATACATGCCCTTAGCGGGAACCGAACCTGGGTCTCTCTGGACCGCAGGCCGACGCTCTAACCACTGAGAAAACCGGCCAGGGCGACTATAAGTTTCTTAATGGCAAGATTTGTATCTTCTGACCTGCCCTGAGCATATAAGTACACAGAGGCACTCAAAAATTATTTACTGAATTAACTGTATATATTCCTTCAGACTTTATATTTTTCCCAACTGCATAGCTCAGATTTCTCTAGCAAAACAGGAAAAAAATGATTTGGGTAAAGTAATAAGGCCAAATAGGTAACAGGCCCATTTTTTGGTATAAATTACTTTAATAATTGTATTTTTTGCATATTCTGTCAATGTATATCTAATCCAAAAGGAGACTGTTCATCAACCAAAGTGGTATGAGTCATTAGCCAAACAACAGTTGCATTAAAAAATAAGATATGTCTCTCTTATATCGATGTTTCTCTCTCTCTTCTCCCCTCTCTCCCTCCCACTCTATCTGAAGATAAATGCAAAAAAAAAAAAAAAAAAATAATAATAAAAGGAATGCAGTCCTATTAAATTCAATAGGAAATTAATAATAGCTCATAATTTTTTTTTATCCTCACCTGAGGACATTTTTCCATTTTTATTCAGATAGAGTGGGAGGGAGGGAGGGAGGGAGGGAGGGAGAGAGGGAGAGAGAGAGAGAAAGAAACATCGACGTGAAAGAGACACATCGAGTGGTTGCCACCCGCACGACCCAACCAGTGCCAGGGACAAACTGCAACCTAGGTCCGTGACCTTAGCGGGAACCGAACCTGGGTCTCTCTGGACCGCAGGTCAATGCTCTAACCGCTGAGCCAAACCGGCCAGGGCATAGCTCATAATTTTAAACATATATCAAAATGGAGCGTTTTCTTCTTATAAAAGTTTGTATCTTTTACTCAAAACAACACAGCCAGTCCATTCACAATGAAAACTTTATTGATATCATCTGAATAATCCACATGGATTTCCAAAATCTTCTGGTGTAAACCAATTGTTTGGAAGCCAAAATTAGTCACAAAAAAATGCATTCATCAAGGATTTCTGTGTTTACTATTGGAATTGATCAAGTACTCTCCTGCTGATTAAACAAAGGATTTGAATTTCACTTATTAATATTTTCCACAAATATTTCATAGTAATTTTCAGCAATTTAGAGGAAATTTAAGGAGATAAAAGATCTCAAGATAAACCTCAGGTCCAATCTGGACTGGATATTTCGTCATTAAATAAAAAGGTGATGAGTATTTTTTTCATATAGATGTGCCTTCTGAATGGTAAAGCAAGTTCAATAATTAAAAAAATTTTTTTTTTTTTTTTTTTATCCTCACCTGACATTTTTGCATTTATCTTCAGATAGAGCAGGAGGGAGAGAGGAAGAGAGAGAGAAACATCGATGTGAGAGAGACACATTGACTGGTTGCCACCTGCATAACCCCAATCGGGACCAGGGACAAACCGCAACCATGGTACGTGCCCTTAGCAAAAACCGAACCCAGGACTCTCTGGTCCACGGGCTGACACTCTAACCGCTGAGCCAAACTGGCCAGAGCTAAAATATGTTTTATTAAAATTGATTTTAAAAAGAGAGGGAGAGGGGGAGAGAGATCGAAACATTGATGAGAGAGAAACATCAACATCGATTGGCTGCCTCCTTCACGCACCCCCCCGCCCCATCCCCACACTGGGGATGGAGCCTGCAACCTCTTGCATGAATTGATGCTCACAACCACTTAGTCACACTGGCCAGGCAAGTTCAATAAATTTTTTTTGTTAGTCTTCATCTGAGGATATTTTCCATTGATTTATTTTTGAGAGAGAGTAGAAGGTGGGGGGGCGCGAGAAAGAAACATCGATGTGAGAGAAACACATTGCTTGGTTGACTCCCACACAACCCCAACCAGAGTGGGGATCAAACCTGCAACCCAGGTATGTGCTCCTGAACCCAAGATCCTTTGGTCTGCGAGCAGACACTCTAACTGCTGAACTAAATCAGCCAGGCAAGTTCAATAACTTTTGATTCAGAGAGAAAGACTATACAGAGATGTGATTATACGAAGTCCTTGTACTAACTTTGACTATAAATACAAGGTGAAATATATGGCAATTATTTCATAAAACAGTTTAAATCTTAATGATCCTTCAATTACAGTCAATGACTAATGTGAGTAAAGGCTTACTATGAAGTATAAAAACAGCACACACCTTTTGATTTCTTTACATCAGGTTCAGGCTCAGATTCTCGGATGAATTGCCCCACGTCACTGACTCTTCCAAATGTCATCTTCCTACGTATGAAAAGAATATAATTTCTAATAATCAATTTTAAATTAAGAAGAAATAAAATCAATGTTTAAGTATCTCACCTAAGTCTAGAAAGCTAGAAATACAATTTATGGCTATCCCATGTTATTCAAAGTAAGGCTTACTTTATTTTATTTTATTTTAATCCTCACCCAAGGACATTTTTCCATTCTTGCTCAGAGTGGGAGGGAGAGAGAGAGAAAGAGAGAGACAGAGAGAGAAACACTGACATAAAAGGAACACATCGAGTTGCTGCCTCCCACACAACCCCAACCAGGCCGGGGACGAACCGCAACCGAGGTATGTGCCCTTAGCGAAAACCAAACCCGGGTCTCTCTGGACCGCGGGCCAATGCTCTAACCACTGAGTCAAACTGGCCAGGGCAGTAAGGCTTATTTTAAATGGAACAATCCCCCAGAGAAAGCAAAATAATTTTTAATTAATACAATTCCATTTAAAAATCCCCCTAAGGTTTTTGAAACATGACAATTAACTCACACTTCTAAAATTCAAACAGAAGAGAAAAGGCACAAGAATAGCCAAGCTCATTTGTAAAAGAGACAAAAAGGTAGGATAAAATGTATTACAAAACTAGAGTAACATATAACATTAAATTATATGCTATAAAGCTGTATTAATTTAAAGCAAAGTTAAAAGGCAAAGAACATACAGTAAAAGGTCTTAGTTTTAGCAGATTATTACTAACCAATAATATCCATAAACATACAGAATTCCAACAAGCCATTAAGAAATCACCCAACAGCCCTGGCCGGTTTGGCTCAGCGGTTAGAGTGTTGGCCTGCGGTCTGGAGAGACCAGGGTTTGGTTCCCGCTAAGGGCACATACCTCGGTTGCACTTTGTCCCCGGCCCTGGTTGGGTCGTGTGGGTGGCGACCACTCGATGTGTCCCTTTCACATCGATGTTTCTCTCTCTCTCTCTCTCTCTCTCTCTCTCTCTCTCTCTCTCTCTCCCTCCCTCCCTCCCTCCCTCCCTCCCTCCCTCCCTCCCACTCTATCTGAACAAAATATCGAAAAATGTCCTCGGGTGAGGATAAAAAAAAAACACCCAACAGAAAACTGAAAAGGAGATGAGTCAGTTCACAAAAGAAAAACCTCAACAACCAAACATGCCAAAGGAAGCTCCATCTTATGAGCAATAATCCAGGACTGCTACAAAAATGAAAAGTTTGATATTATTTAGCACCGACAAAGATGTGGGGAAAATTAGTATTTTTTTTTAATCTTCACCCAAGGATATTTTTCCATTGATTTTCGGATAGAGAGGGAGGGAGGGAGAAAAGGAGGGAGGAAGGAAGGAAGGGAGGGAGGGAGAGAGAGAGAGGAAGAAAGAGAGAGAGAGAGAGACAGACACGATGTGAGAGAGACACATCGACTGGTTGCCTCCTGCACGACCTCGACCAGGACCAGGGATCTAACCGCAACCAAGGTGTGTGCCCTTGACCGGGATTGAACCCGAGACTCTGTGGTCCGCGGGCCGATGCTCTAACTGCAGAGCCAAACAGGCCAGGGCAAAAATTAGTATCTTTATTAATTACTTTTAAAGGTAAATTAGTAAGATCTATTAAAGTTTCAAATCTGCTTCTTGGTACAAGGAAGTATATAAAAGGAAGTGCTTTGCTAAACTGGGTATGTGTAACAGTGAAAAACTGAAAACAACTTACTCAATATCGAAATGACCAAAAGGTGGCAGAACACATTTTGTCACAGTTATAAGCTATAATTAATATTATATATAGAAACTACAGCAGTGTTAAAATGAGGGAAATTTATATAGGCTAACAGAAAAATCTATAAAACTCACCAAAATGAAAGCACAAAATACAGAATACAGTGTAATATCAGGTATATAAAAATAAGCAAACAAAAAAGATACACCATAACATAGCAATGAACAGGAAGAAGAGAAAATAGGCATTGGTGTGTGATCGAAGAGGACATTAGTCTTATCAATACATTCCATTTTTTATGAGATAAACATATTTGTAATTAAAAGTTAGTTAGAAGAAAAACAAATTTAATAATGTCTATATGTTATCTCCTTTCAGGCAAAGTGGATCTTATTTTAGAGATATGCTTCCTAATAGTCATCACTTCATATATAGGTTCACTATACCAACTGATACAAATCTGTTTGCCTTGAGAAACATTTCAGGAAGATGCTAAAATCATAAAATTAAAACAAACACTGGAAACTAGCGTTAAAGATGGAGAGAAATCATCTCTACTTCTGACCCATTTTATAAATTAGGAAAAAGAAAGAGAGAGAACTCATGGACAACACTAGTGGTTGTGGGGGTCAACAGGTAGAGGTGGAAGAGGGCATAGAGGGGATAAATGGTGATGGGAAAAAAATTAAAAATGCAATTCACAAAACAAAAAAATTATTATAATTTAAACACAAAAACACATACAGCAGTAAAACTTCTTGCAATTGATACTTTCTTAAGCAAGGTTTAAAATAAATGAACCAACCATTCCTTAAGAAAAAATACCATCTTTGGAAATTAACTCATTTAGGCTTATTGTCCACCATTTCCTAAAAGAAGAAATACAGATTACTATAACACTGACATAGCTGAAGTGTGCTTTCGAAAAACAATGCAGTCAAACCACTGTTCATCTATTTCCAGGTACTTTCAGACTCCTTGGCCTCCCAACTGTCCTGTTACTTTCAGATAAAAGCAATTAAACATGGTGAAATTCCTTTTATATGGCACTGCTGGGACTGGAGTCGGGTGGAATAATCATGCCTTTACACAGGTCTGTGTGTTAATCAACTATCTTTAGGGAAGAGGAAGTGATTTTATGATTTGATCTGTGGTAAAGTTTAGTAAGTGGTATATCCTATGAATCACTGTCTTTTTGTAATAGGATACAACAACCAACCAACTTACTTCGTAAATACGAAAGAATAATTTAATTCAATTTTCCAAGCATTAGTTTTATAGTCCATATAAATGATATCGGCATCTTTGTATTTTACTTTTTGGTTACTCCTCACCTGATGATATTTTTCCATTGATTTTTTTTTTTTTTTTTTGAGACAGTGGAAGGGAGGGAAGGAGAGAGACATTGATGTGAGAGAGTCACATAAATTAGTTGCCTCCTGCATGCCCCGACTGGGGCTGAGGATTGAACCTGCAACCCAGGTGCATGCCCTTGACCAGGAATTGAACCCGCAACCCTTTGGTAGGTGGGCTGATATTCTAACCGCTGAGCAAAACCATCCAGGGCTGTACTTTACTTTTATTTTTGCTTTTAAGACAGGAACTTTGAAATCACTAACATATAAATCAAATAAAATATGGAATAGCCCTACTATACAAACATGACACCATCAATCTCGTATATGGCAATGAAATAATGATGGTAATATTTGTGGAGTGCTTACTAGTTACCAGGCCATGTTTTAAAGGCTTTTCTGTTATCTCATTTAATCCCCTCAACAACCCAATGAAATAGTAATATTATCCTCATTTTATAGATGAGAAACTGAGACACAAAGAGGTGAAGCAGCCTGCCAGTGAGTGGCTGAGGCAAGATTAAAACCTGGGAAGTCATTCCTGAGCCTACACTCTTCACCATGTTCTACTGCACACTGTATGTAAAAGTTCTGGACATGCAATAATAGATAAAAATGGATTAATGTACAAAAATGTGCGAAATTTACTATATTTGATAAAATTCTAGATATGTGCCATGCTTACCCTGCATATGTCCGTTGATATAAAGATTCTGGATCCAGACTGGCAGCATCCACAATTATTGCTTCATCAAAATTTTTCAGAATTTTAACACTAGCTTTTTTCACATTGGACTACAACAGAAATTGTAAAATTAGTGGTATATTATTTAGGAATCAAATCACTCCTGGGTTTGGAATGTAATAGATTTGCATAAAATCTTCAGTGTTTGAAATACATGCAATTTTAACTCAACCCCATCATTACTGAGATGCTTAACAACAATGATTCTGTAACGTAACATCAATATATAACCACAGGAGGAAAGCACAATATTAAAATGTACAACATATGCATATACATGACAAATCTGCTTTTCTTAAGTTCCCACAAATGTGCTGTCTTAACAGCATTATGTTTCCAAGTGTGCAAAACTCCCATCCATCCATGCACATTTGTTTTGACTAATAAATGTAAAGGCAAACTTTTACAAGATATACCAGAATGCTTTTGATTCTCAGTGAGGCCATGTGACAAAAGAAAAGCAGGAGAAAACTTTCTAAAATGACCAGTTGAATAAGTGTAGAAAATTCCCCTCCACCATTCTATCTTTACCCATACATAAAAAAATAAGTCAAAATTGATTATTTCTAGGAAATACAGAGCCATGAGATGACCCCAAAATTCCACTTCAAAAATTCAATTACAGACTCACACTTATGCAAAATGACTTATATACAAGATTATTCACTGCAGCACTGTTTAAAATGAAAGACAGAACATCAAAAATGGCGGTGGAGTGAATGGAAGCTGCACAGACTGTCTCCCAGAACCAAGCTGGAGTTACAACTAAAATAGGGGCAGGTCCTCGGGAAGAAGCAACAGAGGGGCAGCTTGTGAGTACCACATAACCAGGGACATTGACTCAATCCTGGTAGGACTGCAGAGGCGCAAGAGGGGGGCTGGGAGCCCACGGACAGCAGCGGCCTTGGCTGTGAGCAGCGCCCTTGGGGTTACATTCCCAAGCGGCTCCACAGCGTGGAGCAAGGACAGACCCTAAAATAGCCACAGCCACTCACCTTGGGCTCCGGCAGAGGGAGGGCGGACTGGACTGAAACTGTGTGGGGACACTTGGGATTTGGAGGGCGCTCAGAGTTTTTGTTGAGTTGCAGCCACCCAGGATAGCCATCTTACTCCTTCCCAGGGCTCTGGGAAGAGGCGGAGGCCCCTCCCTCGGAGATTCAACCCCACCGAGATGGGCCAAATAAATGCAAACTGAAGATCATTATCAACCAGCAACTGACCCACCCTTGGGAAATCCTTAGCTGAGCACCTGAGGGAGTTTTTCATTCAAATGAGATTCCAAGGCTCTTCAAGTAACCGGGATTAATAGCCTCTAGGCAAAAAGCTAGGGGATAACTGAACCATTCCTGGGCTTGCAACTCTGTCCAGGAAAGTAAGACTTGACAGTGGTGCTTAACGTGGGTCCTCCCACGCTCATCCAAACCCAGGAGAGGGAGCCACAAATAGGAGAACACTAATACCCACAGGGAAAATTTGGCAGGCTCCAAAGCCCACTGTAATAGCCAAAATGGTGAGACAAAAAAACAAATGCAAATGAAAGAACAAGAGACCTCTACGGAAGATGAGATAAATGAGAAGCAGTCAAGCAGGCTGACAGAGCTAGAATTCAGAGCCATGATCTTGAGGAAGCTCAACAGCATGAGTAAGAACATCAACACCATGACTAAAGACATAGAAATGTTAAAAATCAACCAACTGAAAATTAAAAACCACCAAGAAGAAATGAAGAATGACATAGCAGAAATAAAGAACATATGGGAAGCTGTAAACAGCAAAGTAGAGAAAGCTGAGGACCAGATCAGTGAATTAGAAGACAGTGTAGAAAAAAATCAAACAACCAGAAAAACAAAAGAAAAAAAAAAAAACAATTAAAAAACAGGAAGACAGCATAAGAGAACTGTGGGACAACTGGAAACATAATAATATTTGCATCATAGAAGTACCCAAAGAAGAAGAAAATGAGCAAGGGTTAGAGAATATATTTGAAGAAACAGTGACAGGAAACTTCCCTAATTTGATGAAGAAAGAAGGCATTCAAGTTCAAGAAGCACAGAGGGCCCCAAGTAAGAAGAACCCAAACAGGTCCACACAAAGACACATAGTAATTAAAATGCCAAAAATTAAAGACAAAGAGAGAATCCTAAAAGCAGCAAGAGATAAGCAACAGGTTACCTACAAAGGAAACCCCAAGAGGCTCTCAGCTGACTTCTCACAAGAAACACTACAGGCCAGAAGGGAATGGCTTGAGGTAATCAAGGTTATGAAAAACAAGGATCTGAATCCAAAACTACTCTACCCAGAAAGGCTATCATTCAAAATAGAAAGTCAAATAAAGAGCTTCCCAGACAAAAACAGTCTATAGGAATACATTAGCACCAAACCAGCACTGCAAAAATGTTAAAAGGACTGCTGTAATTAGTAGAAAAAACAGGAAGAAAAATAGAACCACACTAAACAAAAAATGGCAATAAATAAGTACATATCAATAATCACCTTAAATGTAAATGGATTGAATGCTCCAATAAAAAGACACAGAGTAGCTGACTGGATAAGAAAGCATGACTAATCCATATGTTGATTACAAGAGACCCACCTTACAACAAAAGACTCACATAGATTAAAAGTGAAGGGATGGAAAAAAATCTTCCAAGCAAACGAAAAGGAAAACGAGCTGGGGTAGCAATACTCATATCTGATAAAATAGATTTCAAAATGAAGGGCATAAATAGAGACAAAGAAGGCCACTACATAATATGGAAAGGATCTATCCAACAATAAGATATAACCTTGATAAACATATATGCACCCAATGCACCAAAATATATTAAAAATCTTCTGGAGGACTTAGAAGGAGAACTCAACAGCAATACAATCATAGTAGGGGACTTCAACATCCCGATGACATCACTGGATAGATCCTCTATACAAAAAATTAGCAAAGAAACAGAGACTCTAAATGAAGCACTAGATCAAATGGATTTAATAGATATCTACAGAGAATTACACCCCAAAACTACAGATTCATTCTTCTCAAGTGCACATGAGACATTCTCAAAGATAGACCACATGTTAGGGCACAAACTAAGTCTCTACATGTTCAAGAAGACTGAAATCATATCAAGCATCTTCTCAGATCATAATGGCATGCAACTAAAAATCAATTGCAACAAGAACATGCAAAGACATTTGAACACATGGAAGCTAAATAGCATGCTATTAAATAATGAATGCATTACCGAGGAGATCAAGGAAGAAATTAAAAACTTCCTGGAAACCAATGAAAATGAAGATACAACACAAAATCTACGGGATGCAGCGAAAGCAGTTATGAGAGGGACGTTCATAGCAATACAGGCCTACCTCAAGAAACAAGAAAAATTTCTAATAGACTATCTAACCTCACAACTTAAAGAACTAGAAAGCAAACAAAAAGGAAATCCCAGAGCAAGTAGAAGGAAGGGAATAGCAAAGATCAGAGCAGAAATAAATGACATAGAGACCAAAAAAATAATTCAAAGGATCAATGAAACAAAGAGCTGGTTTTTCAAAACGATAAACAAGATTGACGGACCCTTAGCTAGACTCACCAAGAAAAAAAGAGAGAGAACCCAAATACACAAAATCAGAAATGAAAGAGAAGTAACAACTGACACCACAGAAATACAAAGGATTGTTAACAAATATTATGGCAAAAAATTGGACAATCTAAGCGAAATGGACAAATTCCTAAAAACACAGTCTCCCAAAATGGACCGCGAAGAGATAGGAAACTTGAACAGACCAATAACAATTAAGAAAATTTAATATGTAATCAAGACTCTCCCAGCAAACAAGAGCCCAGGCCCAGATGGCTTCATGGGGGAGTTTTACCGAACATTCAAAGAATAACTAACACCCATTCTCCTCAAACTATTTCAAAAAATTCAAGAAGAAGGAAGACTTCCAAACTCGTTTTATGAGGCCAGCACAATTCTAATTCCAAAACCAGATAAAGACACTAAAAACAAAGAAAACTACAGGCCAATATCCCTGATGAACATAGACGCCAAAATCCTGAACAAAATACTAGCAAATCGGATCCAGGAATACATCAAAAAAGTTATTCACCATGACCAAGTGGGACTCATCCCAGGGATGCTAGGCTGGCACAATATTCGCAAATCAATAAATGTGATACACCACATAAACAAAATGAAGAATAAAAACCACATGACCATATCAGATGCTGAAAAAGCACTCGACAAAATCCAGCATCTATTTCTGAGAAAAATGCTTAGCAATGTGGGAATAGAGAGATCATATCTTGACATAATAAAGGCCATATGAAAGATCTACAGCCAACATCATACTCAATGGGTAAAAACTAAAAGCATTTCCCTTAAGAACAGGAACAAGATAGGGATGCCCACTTTCGCCACTCTTATTTAACATAGTACTGGAAGTCTTAGCCACAGCAATCAGACATGAAGGAAAAATAAAAGGGATCCATAATGTAAAGGAGGAAGTGAACTGTCTTTATTTGCAGATGACATGATATTATACATAGAAAACCCTAAAGACTCCATCAAAAATCTACTAGAGTTAATAAATGAATTTGAAAAAGTAGCAGGATACAAAATTAATGTCAAGAAATCGATGATATTCTTATATACCAATGATGAACTCACAGAAACAGAAACTAAAAAAACGATCCCATTTACCATTGTGGCAAAAAAATTAAGATATCCAGAAATAAACTTAACCAAAGAAGTAAAAGACCTATTTGCAGAAAACTACAGGACATTGCAAAAAGAAATAGAGAAAGATATAGAAAAGTAGAAGCACATACCTTGTTCATGGATTGGAAGAATTGGCATCATTAAAATGTCCATATTATCCAAAGAAATCTATAGATTCAATGCACTCCCCATCAAAATACCAACGATATATTTCACAGAACTAAAACATATACTTCAAAAGTTCATATAAAACCAAAAAAGACCCCGAATAGCCACAGCAATCTTGAAAAAGGAGAAAGCAGGTGGGATCACAATACCAGATATCAGGTTAT